CTCTGGACATTATGATGCATACAATGGACTCCGGACTAAGTGCGTTCCCCTAAGTCTTCCTACCAATATGACTTTGTTGCGAAAACAAGGTCAGACAACTTCTATACAACTAAAGGAGACTGCGACCACACAAAAGGCCACACCATCTTTGTCTTCATACCAGTCACGAGTTAGTTGGTAATTTTAGGTCCGAAACCAGACTCCAGCTTAGTCAAGTCCTTTCCTTTTACTCAGCGGCTCTTCCTGTTCCTTTTCTTTCTTTCTCTCTCTCTCCATAATTCTATTCTGCAACCAGAGATCTATTTTACTTAAATTTCTACACTTGTTCATCTTATTCAGGATGTTCTTTGTTTTGTTAATTTTAATCCGCTCTGATCTTCCGCTTATCTGTGAAGTTCTCATATCCGACAAAACGTTGTTATTTAGACTACTCTATCTAGTGTCTTGTAGTTCAGCCACCTTCGGTTTCCGAATCCATAACCTTTGCTGGCGTTTGTGTGTTCTGATGGCCACATATATATGGGTCGACAATTCTCCACCACATAAACATTATCACATCAGCACAAAACCTTATAACAGTCTGATTTGCAGAGGGCGTCTGAAGATTCTTTAAAAGATGCCTTTCATCAGAAAGCGTTAGTATTTCTTTATACATGGTCATAGCGTTCCATCTCAATAATTCGCCTATCTTTCTTGAAAACTTGAAGGATGATGGCGTTAGGAACCAGTACAAAGAGTTGAATAATTCCTTGTTTTGTTTCAATTAATGGTTTCCTTTCACTCTATTTCTTAGTATATGAAATTGTTATCAATTAATCCTAACGGATTATTTTTCTCAGCTAAAGTTTTTCTCAGCCTTTCTAACGCATGTTCCTGATGATTGATGTCCGCTAGATGTAAACTCCTTATCACCTTTTAATTCATTACCCCTAAATATGATTTGAGAAGAAATTAAGAAAGAAACATGCATTTGTGGGTTTTATATGTATACCACAACCCAGTTTGTTCCTTTCTTTTCATAATTCATTTACTTAATTTTGCCTAACTTTTTTTCACATCATGCTTACAATTCAGTTCATTATTGATTTGTTTTTTATTATACACTTATTTCGCTTTGCCATTACTTATTTAATCCGTCTTTAATTTATTATATTTCGCTTAAAATTTGCTAATCATTTTAAATCGTCAGTTCTGAGTTCTTCCTTCATTGAAACCTACTTTTGTATATACAAAGGATTCTCATGCTATTTCAATTTTTCATTTTTAAGTTCGAGAATAGCTATTCCACTGGTTTCGGTTCGGCTCGAGGTCGCGATCCAGATCCCGCATCTATATTGGCTACAAACTTGTCAGATTTGATACCGGATCAAGTTGAAATGGGTCACTCGCATTATCAGCAGCAAGCAAACGGCATGACAATTTCCTCATTCGCTTCCCTTTCAAGCGTTTCGGCACAGTCTTCGATGCAATCCGGAACTTACCAATGCCCTATTTCTCTGGCTGCTCCAGGCATAGTTACCGCTTCATTTACATCCGCATCGACTAGTTCGCAGGCCGGCGCTACTTCTATCTCTACTGGGGAATGTTGCGAAGGCACTGGGGTTATATTCCCTACACATTTAAATCGTCGACCACCAGACCTGATTCAGTCTCAGGCTTCTGCTTCTCTTCCTCTTAGCCTACCGGTTTCGATTTCTGCCTCTTGCGGCGTCGCCGGCTCTTGTGAACCCAGTCCTGCTGGATCACTTACTACCTGCACTGGCCTTGGGTCTGGAAATTTTTCAGTTTCTGCTTCGGTTGCATCATCAGGCCTTAATGTTAACCACTCAGCTCAGTTACGTATTAAGCGGCGCAGCCTTTTGCTTATGTTGAATATGGGAACTGGTCTTGGGACTGCTCTATCCCCGAGCCAAACTGGGTCCCCCAGTCACCTTTCTATATGCTCTTCAACTGGTTTTTCCAGCACATTGAATACAACTCCTTTGGCGGTAAATTCCTTTTCAACTACAGTCACTTCATCAGCCCCTTTTGCAGCTACATCAACCTCCTGCAATCAATATACAGACTCTACGGGACGACCATTGAGTCATTTTGGCCTGATGTCTACAATTGAGGCCTCATCTCTTGGTTCCCCACTTCCCACTTCTGAATCTGGATTTTGGACAGAGATTCGTCCATCTGGTTTTGTTTCTCTCAAATCAGACTTAAGCCATGCTAGACTTGAGACGTATTCAGATCGACAGCTTTCTCCTCGTCTTAATTCAAACTGCCATGGAGTCACTGTTGCTCCCGTTGGCGCTCCCTCATCTCCCTCTTGCTCAAATACTGTAAACTTTCAAGACGATGCTCTTGGACAGACAGCCAATAGATGTATAAGTAGTTCATCAGGCCGCTTGTCTGTTCGTGATACTGCTGCATTTCTTAATTGTGTTTCTCCCACCACTTCCTCTGGATCAGTTAAAAAGCCCAGAACATTTGTAGGGATTCCAAAAACTAGGTGCCGAGTTCAGCCGTGTACTAACTGTAAGTTTGATATTTCAGTTTTCTAGGTCTTTCTATATATTTGAATTGATATATTTTTATAAGGCCAAAATTATTTGTTTTGGCATTATGTGATAAAAATATGCCCAAACCTTGAATTTTTTCACATACTTTTCTCACTGCTTACCAAGTTTTTTGCAAGAATTCTTTTATTTCCGGATTCTATAAAGTTTTGTTTATCCTAACCCTTTTATAGTAACAATGATAATAATTACCATT